TCAGCACCATCATACCACAACATCTCAGCACCGCAAACGACTTTCAAGAGAAGGCCACTTCTGCATCTTCACGGATTTGGTATCCCATATCCTCCATATCGCCCTTCTAGTATCCCAAATATGAAGGAGGACTACAACTACCCCAATCTTGAAATTCTCGCCCCGGATATGGTAGAGCGGGTTAGCTTCACCAATAAGGGTTTTACATATGTCTATATGTATCCCTTTACCTTGTATCCATTCTCCTTGGGGTCGAATGAAGGGCTCGACTCCATAATTTTGGAATTTTGCCATCCATATCAGGTCTGCTTAGCACAAGTAGGCCCATTGATATGGCACACGGTGGCTTGCCTTTGCCAATTGTGCACAGAGATAAAAAAAAAAACTAACCCTTGCACACGTGATGAACTTTTACACTCCCAAACTTTTCCATAGAGGAGTAATAAACTTTAGCAAGCATGGCCACCACACTCTTCTCACCAGTGTAGACGATGACAACGACTGCGGGTAGATGGAAAGATTTGTCGTCATCGCTACCAAGGATATCATCCCGGCAACAACTCCATATTTTACTAAGTCGTAGAACCACTTTCGTAAGTTATCGATGAGTTACCTCTTGCTTTCGTGAAAAGGTTATTTTTTGTTTATTGCTGATTTTCTTGTTTCTATTGTTTCAGCTAGCCGATGGGAACCAACACAGGTTCAAGGCCTGGACCAATGGGTTCAGAAAATTTTGGAGATCACAATACCAGAATTCTGCTGGTGAAAGGAAATGACCCCCAAATATGGGTGGAAGGTCAAACACCATGGTAAGTCAAAACACCCTTTTTATCCTTTCTTGGACATAAAAAAATCTTTATGAACAACCTTCTAACTCTGCTTTTTTGGCTTAATGCTGGACTTCCAAAGGTCTCTATCACTGGCCTTGAGGTCGACACCTTAGTTGACCCGGAAGAAGCCGGGAGGGTGCTGCAAAGTGCCCTTGTCCGAAGCAGAGGTTGCAAATCTGCTTCCAGTGAGGGTGCCTCCTCTCGGAGTCTCCATCCCGAAAACAAGCAACCAAAAAGACGACGCTCTTTCTCGTTTGGGACTCAAAAGAAGAAGACAAAGAAAACACCGATCGAGCTGACCACAGTCACAGTGGTCCTCGATGATAAAGGGGAAGCCAGTGATGAAGAGGCTCCCCTTCAAAGGAGAAAAATATCTTCACCAGCTTAACCAGATGCTCCGCTGGGTGAGCTTAAAAACCCAATACCGAATGAGGTTGAGACAGTTTGGGGTGAGATGGGCTTAATCGAGAACATAGATTCTCATTTCCCAGCCCCCTTTGTTGCATCTGGTTCAAGGAATTCGGACCCTGGGCCTCTTTTGCCCCATCTATTGAGCAAATAACAATCAGCACTACTCCTTCCCAAGTTTCTTCTCCACCTTCCACACCGATGGGTTCTCGCCTACCAGCACCAGCGGCTCCTTCACCGTAGCAGCTACCACATCTCCTCTACCGCCAGAAGAAGATCGAGAAAGGAATGCTTCCCCTCCACAGTCTCCCGTCCACAGGAATTTGGGGCATGATTACTCAACCCCTTCCCTAGATCCTCGAGGGAAGAGAAGGCCAATCTTTCGATTTTGAAAGAGTGCCATCTTTTGTCTAAGTCGGTGGATCTTGCGAATTATCTAAAGTCATTGTATTTGGAGTAAGATTGGAAAAAATACGCTCCCTTTATGGGGAGTGCTTGATAAATAATGCCATGCATAGCACGACGCAGGTGCCGTACTTGTTTTCTTATATTTTCTTTTCCGTTTCCATGCTATAATGGAAATTCTAACTTTGATATTCTTTCTTACAAGACAACTTTCTTGCTTTTGAAGGCCTGTAGAGGTTGATCCTTGATAAACAAGGACTCGCTTCCGAGCGGGATCAACCGTTGGCCGAAAGGAACCAACTTGCTGTGTGTCTCCAAGTGTTGGAGGAAAAAGCTTCCGAGATGGGCAAGCTTAAGGACCGGTTGCATCAAAGCGAACAAGATAAAATGGCCCACATCCACGAAGCTACTCAATTACACAACAACTTCAAGAGGCTAAGGCTAAGTGCGTCGAGCTACATGATGTTGTGCTTGCTGCTGCCAAGCGCGAGTCTGACTTCGAGGAGAAATAAATAATTTGAAGGCAGACTTAAGCTCTAAACTGAGGAGGTAAATTCTACCAAGGAGAAGAGGGCGCGAATGGAAGAGAGGTTAAAGAGGTCGATGAACCAAAAGCGGCTTTACTCGGCTACAAATGTTGAGTTCGATGCTCGCCTCAGTGCCCTGAGATCTGAGAGAGATGGCCTCCAGGCCGAAATTGATGGACTCCAAGCAAAGCTCTAGAACCAAGATGATTCCCTCGTATTTGAGAAGACTTATGTTATATATCATATGAGGAGGAAACCCTTGGAAGAAGCTAAAGTAGGCATAATCTATATTGATGATTGCATCATCAAGTCCTGGTTACTCGGCCCGCTGCAACTGATTCTTCGAGTACTGGTTCCGAGTACTCGGGAACCGAAAGGGAGATTGATGAAGATGTAGATCTCAAACCGGTAGTGAATCCTCCTCCCTCTACTAGGGGAAACACATATCCCTCTCTTCTTTCGGGTTCTAGCGACAATGATACATAGCTTCTTTTTCCGTTCTTTTCCTTTTTTTGTACTTTATAATTGTGCCAAATCTTTTACTAAATTTGGCACTTGATAAATAAACAAAGAATTTTTGCTCAAGTGTTGTACAAAATATATTCCTTTTGCGTTTAACTGATTAAAGCTTATGGTATATTTTCATCCAACAACTTTTGATTCTGGGCATAAATTCTTCCAGAATCAACCCTTTACTATGAGAGTTTCATAAGAGAAGGCCCTTATGTTTACAGTGCTCTTGAAGAGGCGTCTCTTGTTCATTCCAGCACAAGCATTTGAATTTTTTATTTAACTTTCAAATGATAAAATTAACTCAACATTTGAACAAAAAATAAGATAAAAATAAAAAGGACTTTATTTTATTCCTTCTATCTTTAAATGTACATAAGCATTCGTTTGCTAATGTAGACAACACTGTCAATACATGTGGCTAACTTGTACAACTTATTTCTACAAGGTTGATCATGCAGTCCTCGATCCTGATGAAACATTGATCCCGATTCTTACAGTTCCCGATTTTCGTGGCATTCTTATTACCGTATCTTATATTATTCCCTCCAGTGTTCGAATGCGAGGTATTCGAATTCGAACACTGGAAGTCTCGCTTCATTGGTGGAAATAACTTGTGATTGGTTAAATAATCTTTTTTTAGTGATGGAAGGCAAAGCTTGTCATCGAGCCAAATATTATTCAACCATCCACATAGCCGTTTACCATCGATGTGGAAATTCCATGCCTTTATATTTAAAGGTCTTGCCTTTGCCAATGACGCTACTTTCGTAGTATGCTTTTCGTTGCTGCCTCGTTAAAAACCTTGCCAAAAAAACCCGATTGTGACAAAAATTGGACGAAGGAAAAAAGAGTGCAGCACATACTTTCAGTATTGGTAACATCCATCAGCAATAATACCTTTTGAGGTGAGACACGTTCCAATTGCTGGGCGATTTGACTCCATTTTGATTTTCTAACTCGTACGATCCTTTACCGGTGATACCCGAAATCTAGTAAGGACCTTCCCATATTGATCCCAGCTTCCCGGCATTGACTTCTCGAGTGGTTTGAGTCACTTTCCTCAAAACCAAGTCTCCTACTTTGAAGTAACGGAGATTGCCTCTGCGATTATAATATCTTTCCATCCTCTTCTTCTGAGCCACCATCCTCACGTATGCCAAGTCCGTGTGTTCCTCGAGCAAGTCCAACTTCACCAGCAATGCTTCACTATTTTCTTCTTTATTTGTTTAGGAAAACTGTAAAGTCGTTTCCACCACTTTTACTGATATCCAAGCTTCCGCGCCATATACGAGAGAGAAAGGTGTTTCTCCTGTGCTTGACTTCACCGTTGTTCGATATGCTCATAGTACTCCCGGTAGCTCATCAGGCCATTTTCCCTTAGCATCTTCTAACTTCTTCTTCAAGTTTTGAATGATAACCTTATTGGTTGATTCTACCTGCCCGTTAGCACTCGAATGGTATGATGAAGATGTAATTCTTTTGATTTTCAATCCTTCCAAAAATTTGGTGACTTTTGAGACTATGATTTACGGCCCGTTGTCACAAGAAATCTCCTTTTTATTTCGAATCGCCAGATTATGTGGTCCCATATGAAGTCCACCACTTCACGTTCACCGATCTTTGGGTAAGGACCTGCTTCAACCCATTTTGTAAAGTAGTCAGTCAAAACTAAAAGAAATCTTATCTTTATGGGACTCGGTGGTAAAGGACTAGGGTGAGCGTTCGGATTGAATATGAAATTGCGGTTTGGATTTTTGGTTTTCGGATTGAAGAAATTACAATCTAAATAATTTCGGATTGGATTGGATTTTTTATGTTCGGTTTCGGATTAATCGGATTGGATTTTTCGGATTTTTGATTTTGACTTTTAACTTTTAAGCCTATAAGTTAAGCTTATTGAAAAGATTCGACATAAAAAAATAATTTAAATGAAGTAGAAAGATAAAGGAAGACGAAATTAGAAAATATATACTATTAACAAGGATGTAGATTCACAATTGCTTTTGTCAAATGCTTGTGTATATCCCAATAACAAAGATATAGATGCACTCATGAACAATTCGTCGTCCATTTTCCTTTCTCACAATGGAGCTTATTAAGTGACAAAAATATAAAGACCAAAGACTTTTCATTTCTTTATCAATCTGTGCATTTATGGGTAATATCATATTTGAAAATTAAACAGAACAAGGGAAAAGAATTTTGGCAGTGACAACAAAAGAAATTAAAAAGTAATCATCTTGAAAATTAATAAGTCTAAACATTGTAAAACCATGTCCAAATAGATCATACTACTAGTTCATAATCAAGTCAACCATTACTCAATCCTGATAGGCTCAATGCGATTCAAACAGCAACTAACATGTTTAATTAGGGATTTAGTGCCACAACCCCTCGCATGGTTACGAAAAACACAACCACAATGAATGCATCTCAGTTTGCACCATCCATCATCAGTTTCTTCAAACTTTTCATAGTGATTCCAAACAGGTGATCGAACTTTAGGACCTTGAAGTCGAGGCATGATTAAACCTAATGAACATAAAAAGATTCGCTGATAAGTCAAACACAACTTTTAAAATAGAAGTTAAATATAAATTATAAAGCATGTAAAAACTTTGGCTTACTAGATAAGTTGCAATAAGGAATTATATATATAATGCAAGTTCCCTCCCATTGTTGGCTAAGTCTAAATAGAAATTAAGAAGATGTGTCATACAGTATAACAAACAAATTATTTACAAGAAAAAACACATAACTGTTATTTTCCTACCATTCTCAATCTGCTCAAGATAATCCAAGTCTTCCTCGATGTTAATAGGAAAAGTTTCACTTCGAAGCCAATCTTGAACACAAATAAGACCTTGCACCAATCTAGGGATCAATGAACTCCTAAATGAATCAAGAATGCGACCTCTAGTGCTAAATGCACATTCTGACGCTATGCTAGAAATGGAAATTGCTAAGACATCGCGAGCCATCTCAGCAAGAATAGGAAACCTGGGTGCATTAACCTTCCACCAATGTAAAACATTAAAGTCCCCGCTATCAACCTTAGTTCCTTCACTACTTGTCTAACTCAGATTTAGCACCTGAACTTTCATTATCTTCTATGCGTTTCTAGTATTGTAGTCTCAATACTCCTTTAGTAAGAATACTACTCACACTGGACGTATTAGATGAGTCAGATGAAGGTGATAGAAGCTGAGACCCATTTGTATTTTTCATTATATACTCTTTATATAGGTATTCATATACTTTATCACATCTTTTTCTATTTCTCCCACTTTTTCTTTACCAAACATCTCCTCAAATGCAAATTCAACGAATCCAATCTTGTTACGAGGATCCAAAACACATGCAATAAAAATTATTTTTTTTGGTTCACCCCAATATTTGTCAAATTTTTCTTTCATTCGCACTGCCGTTGGTTGCAACTCAATATCCTCACTTGCTACCAACCCTGTCAACATACAAGAAAGCTTGGAAATTTCAGAAAAGTGAACATTAAAAGTGACGTAGAGTGAATCCGAGATTTTCAAAGTAAGCTCATAAAAAGTATCAAGAAACTTAACCAAGTTCCTTCCATTATTCCAATCATCACTCACAAGTGAACCTCCACAATTTCCATCTTCACAAACATGGATAATAAGATAATTAACTAATCCATGATCAACGAGCTTATACCTCTCAAATGCATGCATCAAGTAAGTAGAATTCCATCTTGTAGAAACATCCAAACATAAGATTTTCTTACATGTTATATTTGCCATTTCACAACTGTCCTTAAACTTCTTAATCCTTGTAGGAGATTGTCTAATATATCTCATGGCTTGTCTAACACGTTTGATAGAATCACCAATTTCTTTCAGACCATCTTGTACAATAAGATTAATTATATGAGCCATACATCTTATGTGAAGTGATTACCATCCATCATGTTCGTTCCCCAGTTACTTAACTGTTTAGATAATTCTTTCACAGTTATATCAATTGAACTTACATTATCAACAGTAATGGTGAACACCTTGTCTAAACCCCAATAAAGTAAGCATTTAGAGATATCAATCGCCATATCTTCACCCTTATGACTAGAGATAGGGCAAAATTTTAGTATTTTTTTATGCAAAACCCAATCTCTATCAATAAAGTGAGCCGTAAGACACATGTAATTAATTCTTTGCACTGAGGCCCATGTATCTGTGCTAAGGCAAATTCTTGATTGTGCTTCTTTGAAAGCCTTCTTTCTATTTTGTTTTATCTCACCATAAAGATCATAACAATCTCTTGTCACTGTTCTATGGGAGGGAATATGAAATTGAGGTTGTACGGTTCTCATAAATTTTTTGAAACCCTCATTTTCAGCAAAACTGAAGGGTAGCTCATCCAAAATTATCATCTCAGCTGAGGTCCTCCTACTTAAATCTTGATCAAATCTCCAACTACTTACAAATACTCCATCCATTTTATCACTTGAAATTGGTTGAAACCTTAGTTTGGTTTGACTAGTTTCAGCATTATGAGGAAACTTAGTTCCACTTTTTGTAGAAGCTACGTAATTTCTAGTACAATACTTACATTTTGCCCTAGTGCTTCCCTTCGAATCAAAATACTTATCAAAATGGTCCCAAACAGGGGATCAATGTTGTGTGATCTTTCTTTTCTTTGAAACTTCATCAGATGAACTTATAGGAGAATTATTAGGTCTGCTTTTTATTGAACCCCCTCCTTCATTCAATTTACTATCAGTTTCTGACAACTATGCAAATTAAGAAGGAAAAAAATATTAATGTTGATACCACAAATTCGCACACAAGTGAGTTGAACACTGTTAAATCTAGATGGATCAAACTAATAAAAAATAAAAGACATGAATTATTTGCAATATCAATTACTTGAAAGAAATCAAAAAAGGACATGGTAATCAAAAGATGATTTAGTTTTTGATATCTTCTCGACTCTATATAATGCCTCTTCAAGAAAAAAGGTCTCGAATATGCAACAGATCACATTGATTCAAATTATACTATTATAAATTAAAAGATTACCTGGATTCAATCTTTAGTCAACTTCGGTCTTGACTCTTCAGTGCTTACAAACGCACGTATGGTGTGGCTGTGTGGGTGAGACGTGAGAGAAAAGAAAACCCTATATTATATTTGATTTAGTAGAGAATTCCATATTGGACTTAGTAATGTATATTGAATATACATGCTAGTGTTTAATGGGCATGAAACGACTGGATATTTAGACTTATTAGTATTATGTATGTATATGGGTAATGCTGTAATGGGTTAATGTCTAACTGGTAGGGCTAAATATAAGGTACAAAAATTTCGGATTTTCGGATATTCGAAATTTCGAAGTCCCAAATCCAAATCCAATCCAAAATCTAAAATTTTTAAAAATAAAATCCGTACTCCAATCCATAATCCAAAAATCCAAACCAAAAATTCAAAAATTCGGATTTCGATTCGGATTTTGGGTTTGCCCAAACTATGCCCACACCTATAAAGGACCAACTATGTCCACCTCTCATTTCATGAATGGCCATGAGGACATCATCGAGTGCAGGAGTTCTGCTGGTTGATGTACCAACTACACGTGGCGTTGACATTTGTCACACTTCTAAATGAACGTCTTTTCATCTTGTTCCATCCGAGGCCAATAATAACCTGTCCTGATCAACTTTTGAACTAAGGAATCTGCACCAGAGTGATTCCCGCAAATTCCTTCGTGGACTTCCGTCATTACGTAGTCTGCCTTTGAGGCCCCTAGACACTGGACCAATGGTCCTTGGTATGATCTTATGTATAATTGTCCATCCACGAGGTAGTAACGAGCTGTTTTGGTTCGTAGTGCCTGAGACATTTTCGGGTCTTTGGGTAATCCGACATGCCAAAGGTATTTGACGAACTCATTCCTCCAGTCCCAAACAAGGTTGGTTGAATTGACTTTGCAATAACTATCCACGTCCAATACCGAATGTAGAAGTTGAATGAAAATACTGGAGTCAGATCCTTTCATCTCCCTAGATGATCCTAGATTAGCCAATGTATCTGCTTCCATATTTTCTTCCTTGGGATATGTATGAACGACAATTCTCTGAATCGTGCAAGCAATGCCTGACCTTGTTCACATACTGTTTCATGCGTTCTTCGTTCGTGTCAAAAATCCGAATACTTGGTTTGCTACCAGCTGGAATCGCACTTTATCTCGATGACCCCGTAATCGAGTCCCCGGTCCAGTTCAAGTCCTGCAACCAAAGTCTCATACTCGGTTTCATTGTTAGTTAACAAAATAGTTTTAATGGCCTACCTTAAAGTTTCCCCCGATGGCGTGACTAGAACTATCCTAAGACCGAACCCTTTTACATTAGAAGTTTCATCCGTAAACAAGGTCCAAACCCCTGATGCCATTTCCGACACCAACACTGCTTCCTTAACAGCCAAGGGCATTAATCCAGGACTGAATTGGTCACAAAGTTGGCCAAAACTTGTGACTTGATTGCAGTCATGGGTTTTGTACTCAATGTCGAACTCACTGATTTCAAACGCCCATTTAGCCAAACGGCCCGACAACTCAGTATTGTGAAGGAAATTCCTTAAAGGAAAGGTTGTCACAACGGCTATCAGATGGCATTGAAAATAAGACCTAATCTTTCAAGAGGCAACTACGAGAGCTAAGGCCAACTTTTAGAGGTGCGGATAGCGAGTCTCCACTCCCGACAGTATTTTGCTAACATAATAAATGAAAAATTACCTACCTTCTTCGTCACGGACTAAAACGGCACTTACCGCTACTTCCGAGACCGCTAGGTCTATTAACAACTGCTTGTCTTCCCCCCAGTTTTTACAATAACAGGGGGCTTGACAAGTATCTTTTTAGGTCTTTCAATGTATGTTGGCATTCTGGAGTCCACTCGAAATTGTTCTTCTTTTTAAGAAGTGATATACGAAGTGATGGAACTTTTCTGAGGATCTTGAGATGAACCTGCTTAAGGCTGCTAACCTACCGGTTAATCTCTACACTTCCTTCACGCTCGTTAGCCGGTCCAGGATGTCTTCGATGTCTTTGATTTTATCGGGATTTACCTCGATCCCTCTTTGCGAGACCAGGAACCCCAAGAACTTACCCAAACCAACCATGAACGCACATTTCTCTGGGTTAAGCTTCATGTTATGCTTCCTTAGAATATCGAAACTCTCTTGGAGGTGCTTCAAATGATCTCCTGCATTCAAATATTTGACTAACATGTCATCAATGTATACCTTCATTGTTTTGCCTATCTGATTCTCAAACATTTTGTTGACGAACCTTTGGGAAGTAGCTCTAGCGTTCTTGAGCCCAAATGGCATCACATTATAGCAACAGGTGCCAAAGCTCGTTATGAAAGGAGTTTTTTCCTGATCCTCCGGGTTCATCTTGATTTGATTGTACACGGAGTAAGCATCAAGGAAACTCATTAACCTGTGCCTGGCAGTAGCATCAATCATTTAATCAATATTTGGCAGTAGAAATGAGTCTTTAGGCATGCCTTATTTAAATCTTTATAGTCTACGCACATCCTAAATTTTTTATTCTTTTTAGGTACTACAAATATGTTGTCTAACCATGCCGGATACTTTACCTCCTGAATTGAACCGTTGAGTAGTTGGCCTATCTCTTCTTTAACAAACCTGTTTCTAACCTCAGCTATCGGGCGCTTCTTTTGCCTTACCAGTGGAAAATTTGGGTCCAAACTCAGCTTGTGGACTGCCGCCTCTAATGGGATACCTGTAAGGACTACCGCTAAGTAATTTAAGATTTCGTGGTGCCAAGGTAGGCTAATTATATTATTTTGTGTGCAGATGAGGACTATTAATATAATGGATATCAATTAGATATGGTAATAAGTATACAAGGCATATTATAGGTGATGTGGAGTCTAAGGAGAGGCCTAAGTCTAAGTCAAATTGGAAAATTACATAATAGACTAAAATTCCAAATGAATACACACAAGACCAAACTTTGTACTACCATATCTACATATATATATATAAGGTGTTATGTGATCCAGAACCTATCAAATGAAACATCTTCGAGTCTAGTTTCTAACGCTTCAAACTGTTTGTCATTTGGACACTCCTACAAAAAGTTATGACCAAATTACCAAAAGCTGGCAAAATCCGATTCTGCGACCAATTTTGCAAACCGCAAAAATGGTCGCAGTCCTGCCCAGTGAAGACTACTTCTGAGCACCAGCTTCGCGGTCCATTCTGCAACCGCAGACCTGATTTCGGAGGCTTCATTTTTCTATTTTCATAACCCGACCCCATTTTGATAAATAACCTTTGGGGCTAATTTTGGAACATTTTTCCTGACGTTTTAGAGAGAGGTAAGAGCAATTTAGAGAGAGAAGGAGGAAACCTAGCATTCCAATCATCCAATCTTGCTCAAATCATCAAGAATCAAGGGAGCTAGCAACTAGATTATCATCTATCCGGGTAAGTCCTACTCCTAAGCTTTCATGCAAGAGGTTAAGAGTTCAAATATATTATGGGGTTGGGAATAGGCCATGCATGTGACACTAAGTTTTAGTATGTGAGATTAATGAACCCTTGTGGGTAGTTTCTTATTGAAATCTGTTGAGGGAGGAAGGGATCACCATTTTAGATCCTTGTAGTCGAATTTTCATGATAGGTGTTTGACAAAATTCCTAAGAGAGTTACACCATGGGAATCCTTTTAATTATTAACCGATTTTCGCTACCTTCCTATAGATTGTTATTGCTAGAAGTGTTGGTGCGTTGTAGTAACTTAAGAAAAACTCAAACAAGGTATGTTGGATAAACTTTCTCTCTTAGAATCGAATTCCATAAATGTTTCCATAAGTTCAAGTATGATTGGCTCAAAATTCCTAATTTCTATATTCCGGGTTATTACCTATAAATATTCCGAAATGAGCCTTATGACCAAAGATATATATTCAAAGTATGGATTGCATATAAAAATGTTATGGCTTGAGCCGTGTTTCAAATAAAAGCTAGTATGCCAAATTGTGTGAGAAAAACTCGATATGTTTAAGACTCATAGT